TATACAAATACTGAATTGTTCTGAACACCTGGAACTTCAGGGGAAAAAAAACCATCCGTATTCTTGGAATAAGCTCAACTCCATTGGAAAACATAATGTATACACACACACACATACACGCGCGTGCGCACGCACACACTGCTGGATTCAGTTTACTAATATTTTATTTAGGATTTCACATCTAGGTATGGCAGTTACCTAGCAAAGCCGAGCAGTTGCACATGTGATGACTCGTTAATTCTACTCAGAAGTGTGCATACACAGGGATGCCTGGGGGGCTCAGTTGATTAAATGTCTGACTTTGGCTCAGGTCATGATCTCTCAGTTTGTGAGTTCGAGCCCCGCGTCTCGCTTTGTGCTGACAGCCGAGTCTGGAGCCTCCTTCAGAGTCTGTATCTCCCTCTCTCCCTTCCCCAACCCTACTCGTGCTCTGTCTCTGTCTCTCAAAAATGAATAAATGTTGAAAAAAAATTTTTTTAAATACTTGTAAAAAATGTAAGACCCATCAGGAGGAAAGAAATTTACAGTTTTAAGGATCTGCTACTCGGCCTTCATCCCCTTAGAGAGCTCCAGCCCAGCTCCAGCCTCTCACTGATCACCTGCTGAGGCTGATGGGTCAAGTTCTGGTATAAAAAGGAAGCCAGACGGGCAAGTCAGTCAGGTCCTGGGTGAGATACACCCCAAAGTACAAACAAGGCAAAGGGAGCCCCCTTAGACGAGAGATACCAGAGCTGAGGATTTCACGTGGTGGTGATGACTCTTGAGAGTCATCAAGAGTCACCGACTTTACAGGTGAGGGACTAAAGCACAGAGCACTTGTGTGACCTTGTTCAAGGCTGCTCGCCACGGGTGTGTGCTCCGGGGGGTCTGAACGTGGGCTGTCCGACTAGAGTCCGTGCTGAGTGTTCCCAGGCCCAGTGGGACAAGCAATCCCACTTGTGAGGCAGTTTGCAACAGACGGGAACAGAGAAGTGAGCAGCAGCGTGGGTGAAGGAAGTCCAAAGGTTTCCTTAAGGAGAGAGGAAAGGCACGTCGTGTGCTGACGGAAACGATCTCACAGGGAGGGAAAATTAACGATGGAGGTGGGAAAACTGTTTAGGTCACCATTAATACAAGCAGTCTCCTAGGCGTGGGCCCGGAAGGGGTTCTCAATTCTTCAGTCTTCTTAGCAGCTGAGAAGACACTGCAGGACTCGATCTGTGTGTCTCCACATGCATGCACTTCTACACCATCAAGTCCTACGACTGGAAACATCTGCACATTTTTCAAACGGTACCCATGGCTAAAGTGCCGCAAACCACGTCCATCTACACTTTCACCAGCTCAGTATGCAACCGCCCCCTCTACATTCATCAGCACTGGGCGCTAAGCAGTCTACTTACTTTTTGCAAATCTAAAATTCAAAAAATTCCCAATAAATAAAATTTTTAAAATTCTTATCATTATTTGAATTGATATTTCTTCTGAAATAAAAGCCTAATTACTTTGTTGGGCAGTTTCGTCAAAAACTTAAACATAAATTCACCAGATGACCCGGGAATTCCATCCCTGGGCATCCCCCAGAAGAAAGGAAGATGCGTGTCCTGCACACAGACTTACAAACAAATGTTCACAGCAGCATTGTTCGTGGTGGCCTAAAATCAATGCAGCTACCCACCAACTGACAAATGGATCACCAAAAGCCACTATTTCCGTACAGTGGAACGTGACTCGGCCGTAAGAAGGAATGAAGTATCCCCACGCGCTACAACACGCATGAACATTAGAAGATAGCACACGCACTGAGAGAAGCCAGACTGAGCGAGCACGGGGTCTCTCTTCGGGGCAAGGAGGAGATTCTAAAGTGGCTTGCGGTGATGAGTGCTCAACTCTGTGCACAGACAGAAACCAAGGAATTTTACCGCAAGTGAGTGAATTACTGGGTATCTGGGGGTAGAGCCACAGGGGCAGGGTACTGTTTGCCGGAGAAAAAAAGGAGTCAGTGACCCCCTGGCTTTTGGGCTTTCTGCTACTCGAGGACGGCAGTATCTGAATTTCTCACAGGAGACAGATATTAACTGGTTTAACCTATTACTTTGTAACACCTTCAAAATTATGAAGTCAGCCTTCCAGAGTCATGATAGAAATCACTAGTCTGATAAGCTTAGTCATTCTTTCATGCATTCTGGCCCTTTAAAAAAATGAGGTAGTAAGGACTATTCCAGTCCAGGAAAGACTGTGTCTGAGGGACGAGGCAGCACACCGCCTTAAGCAAGGAGCTTCGGGGACAGGGCCTGTGCCGGCTGAAGGCGCCCCGCAGGACGCGAACCCCGGCGGCCTTCCCCTCTTCCGGTCAAAGGTGGAAGCAAGCCGTCCCCGCCAGGAGGCGGGGCTCCCGCGGGCAGCAGCTGCAGGTGACACAGGGACAACGGCTCCGGGCATCCGCGCCCGGAAGGCTGGCAGGCACATGCTGCAGCCACCAGGGTCAGCCGCTGACCCTCGAGGGAAGCGCGGCCCAGAAACCCGGGGATGGAGGGACACACTCTGCTCTCCAAACCCCCTGCAAGAGGCCCCTCCGGAAAACATTCCTTTTCAAGTGTGAGGATCTCACTCCCGCACGAGTGAGGTATTGACACTGTACCTACAGTCAGCCCTCCAACAACACGGCCCTGGGCTGGGCCAGCTGTTTGTGTGCGGGTGTTTTCAATAAACATGTATGATGCTGTCAATGTACTTTCCTGTTTTCTGCACCACATTTTCTCCAGCTCACTTCACTGTGAGACTGTAGCATACGGTACCCACAACACAGGGAAGGGGGCTTAGCCGACTGTGAGCAGTCAGGCTTCCGGTCTACGGGAGAACTACCCTCGTTAGCTTCTGGGGAGTCCAGAGTTACACGCAGATTCTGACCACACAGGAGGCCAGGGCCCCCAACCCCTGCGTTGCTGAAGCGGCAACTGCATACTGGTAATAATTGGTCACAAGGCTGTTCTGTGCCTTTATTATTCAAGTCATCATATGCAATGCAGAAACCCAACCCGTACACAAGACTCTAAGGAGTAGAAGTAAAGCAGTGATGACAATTCTGGTTCTAAATTCAGATGGAGGGCGCGGATGTGCACTTAGCCCCGCCCTCTGCTCCGGTGACACCCACCCCGGCTCCAGCAGGCAACACTCCCCAGCTGGCAGTGACTCTCTGACTACAGTCTGTTTAAATCTTTCCAGATAATACAATTATATCAAAAATGTACACAATTGTGCAATGTTTATGTAAAACTATCTACATTCAGTGAAAAGAACACATACCAAAGGCCAGTCACACCCAGCAAAACTGAGTACTCAATACATGGAAATGAAGGAAGGAACTCTGCTCAGATCTACCTCGCCCTTGGTAGATGTGTTTTACCCTCTCTGGACTGCGTACGGATAAAACATATTTTTATACAGATGCACAGATACACTCAGGAACAGTACGGACCACACCTGAAGACTGGCTGCTTCGGGTCCCGGGAGTACAGGGGCAGCGTGCGGGGTAAGGGCCGAGCGCCTGCGCACTTCCGGGGGGGAAGCATACAAAGACACACTCCTGCCCGTGCAGGGCCCTGACATTTTCACTGGAGGACAGACATGATGTCAGCTTTGTGTATGGAATCTTCTCTTGCTGTTTTTTGATCTGGTGGTTGTTACATCAAATAATGCTCCCATCCTGACCGACCCCAAGAACTAGAGGGGCCCGGATAGTAGCGTAGCATCGACTGAGCCCTTCAGATACTAGGACCAGCTTCCTCTCAGTAGTTCAGTGAGGCGTTACAGCAAACAGGAAGGTCTGTGAGTTAGAAAGAAAGGAGCACATTGCTCCTCATCTCATGACCTTGAGATTCTCAGAGGTTAGCTGACCTAAAACATACATCCACTTTAAACAGTGAAAGCCTAAAATAACTGATTGGAGATTAATAAAATATAGTTCTGTTTAGCTTATATATAAAGACATACTTAGCACATAGCACATCTCAACCAATACCTCGTGTGTAGAGGGCACTAAAAAACAAGTTCTCCATCCGCTTACTCACTTCTCCCCTGGCCCATCTCAGGCCCCTCATTATAGAATGCCTACCAAATGTGTTTGTCTGGCTAAAATGCACTATCCAAATTCCTAACACAGTGGGAAAATGGCATGAAACTTCCCAGATCAGACTTTAGGAAGCCCAGAGCTTTGAATTCTGTTAAGAAAGATGACAGGGGTGCCTGGGTGGCTCAGTCAGTCAAGCGTCTGACTCTTGACTCTAGCTCAGGCCATGATCTCAGTTTGTGAGTTCGAGCCCTGCATTGGGCTCTGTGCTGGGAAGTGTGGAGCCTGCTGTGATTCTCTCCCTCTTTCAAAAAAAAAAAAAAAAAAAAGATGACAAATGATACTAACTTAATGGATGTTATCCTTATAATCTACAACCTTGCTGTCCTTTAGAAATGAAAAATACTTCTCTGGCTAAAACATTACTGAATTCTGTGACATTCAACTCAAAGATAACCCTTTTCCTCATTTCAATTTATGAAATGACTGCCACTTAATGTTACTTATGTCATAGTCACCCACAGTGGATAAAGGCAAGTCCACCACCTATGTTGGCGGTAAGATCGCAGGCCGGGCCACCGGGTCCAGTCCCGCTGTGTCTGTTCCCAACTGTGAGCCCCGGGCAGGCTGAAACGACCCCCGCCTGGTTGTCTCATCTGCAAAATGACGGTAATGACAGCACTCCTCCCTCACGCTGCTCTGAGGATTAAGTGACATATCTACGATGCTTTGGACACACTTGCCATGTAATTAGCACAGCGTCTTAGCTGCTATTTACATCACCGTGTTAAAAACCCCAACAGCAACAGAGACTACCTCATGCTCTAAAAAGAACGTTCATTTCATTAGAGAGATTACTTACATTTGAAGAACCTCCATGTTTACAAATGCATGAACTGCACTCAAGTATAGGATGCCCCCGCGTTAAGATGTAAAGCACAGCCTCACGTACCTGTTTGGAACACGAGCTCTTTCCCTCCCACGCCCGCGGCCTCCAGGTTAATAAAGGCACGAATCAGGCCGGCCCAAGGGTGCTGTGTTATGAAACCATGACTGGCCTGAATAAGAGGGAAATAAAACAGATGTAGGTTAAACAATCTTAAATTATCAAGGTCTTTCTTTTGCTTAAAGACAGAACATCTCTGCTGATAAGGGGAAGACTCGGAAAACGATCCTTTCTGTCAGCGGCAGGACCTCGGGACACCCATCCGCTTCTCCATGCACACTGGCTGCGTGCAGCTCGTGCAGCGGAAAGTCACCCTCGCAGAAGGCAGCCTCATCTCCGCGAGGGGTGCCAAACGAGGCCCCCCGTAAGTGGGAAGCGGGACAAAGCAAGAGAAGAGAAGGGACAGCTCCCATGCTGTGTGCCTGCCTCAGACCATCGCGGACACTCCGGGGCCACAGATCACCCGACGTGCTTAATTACGCCGTCACAAAGCCCTTTTATGAATCAAACACAGACAGCACCACCTGAGTCTGAGTACTGAACGTCTGTGCGCAGTGGCCGCGGACACTTCACAGAACTCCACGGACAGTATTTCTTTTGCATATTGTTAATGAGCCTACTCAAAAGCATACTCGAAATGCCTAAGTGAGCCTTCGTGATCGTTCCCATTATTACTCAGGTCTAGTATTTAAAAGAGTAACCTCTCACTTGTAAGACATTCTCCTCGGCACCGTTGAAGAGAAATATGACAGCGTGATGCAGGGCTTCCGGAGACGCCGACAGGGCGCGGAGCACCTCCAGCATCACCGAACAGCTCACGGCGTCGTCGCTGGCACCTGTAAATCAGAAAGGGAGATTTTGCTTCTCAGATTGGAGTTTTGGTTTTCTTTAATTTTTTTATTTTAGAGAGAGAGCACAAGAGCAAGGGAGAGGAACAGAGGTGGGGAGAGAGAGAGAATCTTAAACAGTTCCCACAATCAACGAGGAGCCAAAGTGGGGCTCGATCCCATGACCCTAGGATCAAGACCTGAGCTGAAATCAAGAGCTGGACACGCAACCCACTGAGCCACCCAGGCGCCGTGCCTCTCAGATTTTAAAACTTTTATAGTATGAACCGTCATGACTAGGAATGGGGTTTTCTCATCAAAAAAGCACCACAGGAGAATCGGCCACCCTCCTACACTGCTGGTGGGCATGTAAACTGGTGCAGCCCCTCTGGAAAACAGTGTGGAGGTTCCTCAGGAAACTAACAATAGAACTCCCCTATGACCCAGCAATAGCACTGCTAGGAATTTACCCAAGGGATACAGAAATGCTGAGGCATAGGAGCACATGTACCCCATGTTCATAGCAGCACTCTCCACAATAGCCAAAACAGGGAAAGAGCCTAAGTGTCCATCAGCGGACGAATGGATCAAGAAGATGTGGTTTATCTATACCATGGAATACTACATGGCAGTGAGAAAAAAAAAAAATCTGGCCATGTGTAGCAACATGGATGGACCTTGAGGGTGTTATGCTGAGCGAAATAGGTCAGGCAGAGAAGGACAAATATCATATGTTTGCACGTATAGGAGGATTAGGAGGAACTTAACGGAGGACCAAGGGGGAGAAGAAGGGGGGAAATAGTGGGGAGAGGGAGGGAGGCAAACCATGAGAGACTCTTGAACGTCGAGAACAAACAGGGCTGATGGGGAGGGGAAGGGGGGAGATGGGCATGGAGGAGGGCACTTGTGGGGATGAGCACTGGGTGTCATATGGAAACCAACTTGACAATAAACTATTTTAAAAAAAAAAAAAAGCACCACAGGGCACCTGCGTGGCTCAGTGGGTTAAGTGTCTGACTCTGGCCCAAGTCATGACCTCACGGTGAGTTCAAGCCCCTCATCGGGCTCGTTGCCGTCAGCACAAAGCCTGCTTCAGATCTTCTGTCCCTTTCTCTTCCTTCCCCACTTGCACATGCTCTCTCAAATATAAAGATGACACTTAAAAGACAAGAAAGCAAGCACCACAGTGGCTACAAGGCCAGAGGCACAAGTGCGCCGGCCAGCGCCGCCACACTTCATGAGGACGGGGTCCTCGCCCGGTTCGCCTGCTGACTCGTCTAGAACCCTGCCCAGCCGTGTCCTAGCTGCTGAACCATCAGCCAGGCAGGACCGCGGTTAATACTGAAAAATTGCTCTCTGGTCAAGCCCAGGCAATCTGGTCCACGCTCCGTCCTCACTGCACGTCCTCTGCAGTCTTCTCATGGCTGGGGCTCCGGCTTCCTGCATCACCTCCCGCTCCCACCCCCAGCCCTCCCTGCTTCTCTTCCTGCCGGCATCACAAGGCCGCACATCACTCTGCGTCCACAGGGAGTGCGGTCTGGCTGATGTAACTCTGTGATGATCATGTGATGAAGGGGATTACGGATGAAAAAGCAGAGATGCCATCAAAGCTGGGAAGACCCAGGAGAGGAGACCAATGACCTGAACAGCCTCCCTGGTCCCAGCACTGAGAAAGCAGAGGACCTCACCAAAGCACTTCCCTCTTCTGGACTCGGAAACTTCATGTATTAATTAAACATGATTATAAAGGTGACTTTAATACCCTGATTTTTTAAAAGCTCTATATGAGGTAGTTAAAGGAACAGACTAGACATCTGAGGACTTTGAGGAATCACTGGGAAGTTTTGTTTTTTTTTTCAGGCAAGGTAATTCATGGTACTATGAGCATGTCCAAACAGAATCCTTATCCTTGGGTGAGAGCAGACCGAGACACAGAGGACTTAGTATGGCTGAGATCTGCTTCGAAAACACTCAGGGGTTGCAGAGTTGTGGGCAAGAAACAAGCCTGGACATCTGGGCGGGTATGCTCAGGTTAAACAATTTGGTTTTGCACATGTTTGAAATTTTCCATAACAGAAAGTTGACAGAGTAAGTACGTACGTAGGCACAGCAATAACCCGGGCAGGAGCCTTCCTGGGTTTGCACACTGGGAGGCAGGAAGTGACAGAGTTTAGCGTGGGTTTCAGAGCAAGAAAGACTTGGGAGGTAAATTCTAGCCGTTATTCTCCCTGCACTTGCCTAGTCAGTCGGGAGGGCAGGGCCAGTAATATTTTTCTGAGGTGTGTTGAGAGGATTACAAGAAAATGTGGTCCAAGCCAGTGTCAATTGTTCCTTCTCGTCTTTACAAATTTACGAAAGGCTCTGCAGGCAGCTAAAATGCTCGTTCTGGCGCTGTGAAATTCCAGACCCCAATCCTACTCAGGGCGAAACTACTCATTAGCTATTCTGGTCTTGGTGGTGATCACCAGGTTGTATTTTAATCAAAGCGAATCAAAGTAATAATTATCTAATTACCACCAAGTAGAAAGTATACGGTAGCTATTAGTAAAAAGTTAACACATTCCCACAACCAAATGAGATTAATGGTTTTTCACTTTGACACTAAGTTGCTTTCATGCAAACAGCAAACGATAAAATCTGTATTCAAAGTAAGAGAACAAGAAATTGAAGGAAATATACACAGGGCTGATGAAAAGTTAAACTGTCCACTTATCTTCCTTTATCTGAATGGTTCTGGCATCTGAGAACACGGCCAGACGAGGGTTAAAGACCTTTAAGAAAGCGAAGGCAAGTGAGAGGGCGGTATCTAGAAGGGCCGGGTGGTTTGCCAATGTGCTTTTCCATTAGAATTAACCCTGAACTTGAAACCACCACTAAAATAACTCCATGTCTCTTCTACCAACAACCTGGAACCAGGCAGCAGACCCAAGTAGATACTTAAGGCCTTTCTGCGGGTAACTTTACTCCGAATTGGTATCAGTTCCTAAGTTCCAGATACGCTGGTGAGAAGAAACAGGTGGAAAAACTCCCCATTCCCCTTAGTTCATCCACTGAAAGGATACAGGTGACATCTACCACTGTAGGCGACAGTCGATGTTACGACTCTGCTTTTCCACGATTTTTATTTTTAAATTTGCAATGGACAGAAATTTCCTGGAGATTGCTGGCTAGGTATTCTTATACAATTTTAATTAAAACTGGGTTCCAATGACCCACAAAATAGCCATTCTCTCATTCCTGGACCCCATGTATGTGATTTATAGCAACTGGCACTGTGTTTCTGATACCTGCACACCCTGGTGTTAATCTGTCCCACCCAGGAGTTTAAGCATTCTAACAGCAGGCACGGAGCAACCCTTATTTTACAGCCTCTCTGAAACAGGCACGAAGGGCTCCTGGCCTCCCCAGTGCGCACAAATGTATTTCTGACTCGATAAGGCAGATGTCTGTACACGGATACTCGAAAAAACATGTTACCTTCTAAGCGCAGTTGGCAAGCTTTCTGATTAAAGATACCCTAATGTCAATCATGTCGTGGAGCAAACAAATTTTGTCTTTTGTATGTATAACTTTTGTATCTTTTGTTTTATGTTTTGTATCTGGATGTTTGCTGTGAGCCTGCTATCCGTTCAAGCAATCCAGAAACATTACAGTGAAGTAACGATTAACAGGAATTAATCTCCATTCTGCAAGGCAGAAACGGGGCAGAGAAGAGGTTAGGTATTTTGCCAAAAGGAACATTAACTATACTCTCCTTCCTCTCAAGTGTAGCTCAAAGTACCGACTGGCCGGAACCCCTGCATCTGGTGCCACCTCGGTCTCTGATTAGTGGTGACCAGCTAAGTTTATTCCTTTGACAAAAGACAGGGTTGAACTAGACGGAGCCAGACACCATCTCAGCCCCTCTATCCGTGCCAGGATTCCACTGCAAAATGCTACCATCTTCCATTCATCCCTTCTTCAAATCTAGCTCCTGGAAACACTGCTCTCGTGAATCTTATGTTTAAAGCTGGAACTTCAAGTTAGGGAGCTCCCCTTCACTCTACAAATATTTTGTGTCAGGCACTATCCTGAACATCAAGTATTCCATTTTGCCAAAGTCTTTTCAGAGAAAGATTTGTGGAACAATGAGCTCTTCTAAAAGTATGGCATCTCCAGTGGCTCCAAATCCTCACTTTCCAGGGCGACCCACGCTGCGAGGGGAGCTGTCCTCCGAACCCAGCCTCCCGCAAAGGTGAAGCCTATTCCTTCATCCCAAATGCCCACAGCCTCCTAGGAAAGGTAGCTGAGTAAACACCTGACGCAGCAGAACCTACCGCCAGGGCTCAGGGACACACACTGGCACATTGCCAAGGCAGCGGCGACCTGCGGACACACTCCCTGCCCTGTCACTGGGCTGCTGGCCCTAACGTCCAACAAAGAAAGAAAGAAAGCACTTGAGAGAATAGTGGCGGTGTGGATCTTACTATTCTAATTACCTTCAATTCCATCACGATGAAAAAGGCGGCTTGTCAAAGAAATAAGCAAATAAAACCCCCCAAAATGGTGCCCTCCAACTGCCCAAGCAGCTTGGGGTGAAAAAGCTCTCCGGGCGCACTGAAGTCCAACTCCAAAATGACTAAAAGTAAGGTACGTACCCGGGGAGTTGGCCACGGAGTCAAAATGACAGTTCGCCAGGACAGCGTGCTGGGCCCCGTCCCTGGGCTCCAGCTTTACCACCACATTGGTGATGTTGTCATAGTAGCTTGTAAAGCCCCCCAGGAAGTCGATGCTAAAGGAGCCGGTGGGCCGTTGGACATCTACTGAAATCCTGTGAAGGCTGCTGCTTTGAACTTCAATCAGTTTAATCTGTTCCAAGAGATAACGGACCGTCAGAATCTCATTTTCTGGACTTCCTGTAGTCCTGGGGCCAACAGATGTGATGTGTTCAAGATAATCCCTAGAAGGAACCGAAAGAAGACGATGACTAGGCTCGCCAGGCTTGAAATGAATGCTTAACATGGGGCAACTCTTCCCAATGCCCCTCCCCCAGCCAGCAAAAAACAGTTCTCTGACCTCTCACATAGAAGAAGGCTGACTTTTATTATTTCAGGTACCCTGTGAAAAATCCCTTCTAAAGTTCCATCTGCTCATCACGCCTTCTGTGAGTTCCTCCCCACCAGGCCCACTCCCAAACTCCTCCTATCCTGGGATCGAAGACTAGGGATTCCACCTAAACCACGTGGATGCTGAAGGCTGGACAGACAGACTCCGGCCTCCCCGAGCCACGCTCTGGAGAGCCCCTGACTCTGAGTAGCAGACGCCAAAGAGCAAGGTCATGCAAAGAAAAACTTCCGATTGTTGACAATGGACTCAGCCCTCTCGGTAGTGTACACACCGGCCCTAATAACTTCAACTCAGGCCCAAGCCAACCCTACCCCTAAAACAAACAAAAAAAAGAGCGTGTTGTCTTTTCACTGCATTCCAAGTGGGCAAAAAGGGAGTGGGGGAGGTGTGTCCCAGAAAGTCTTTAATGAGCTTCCAGCACTTTGTATTCCAAAGTTTTAAAAACGCAGTGGCTGCTGAGAACTCCATTAACTTGTGGTCTGAGGAGCTTTGACCTACTTAGGGTTACAATACCTTTGACTTAATCACCTTTCCCAGCGTGCTCAAAGGTCTCTTTCCTTGAATCCAGAATAAAAACAAGGAAAACCACCCAATCTTACACACCAGGGGCCCAAGGACAAGCTCCAGGGGCCCTGAGACCCGTGAAACGGCAGAATTTCGAAGGTGCCGTCCTGCAGGAGAGGCCCCCACGCTCACAGGGGCGAGGGCCGAGCCCCTCCGGCAGTCAAGAGCACGGAGATATCCCCATTATCACCGCCCCACCCAATCCGAATTCATCAACCGGTCTAGATCCACCTCTCTCACTCCCCATTAATGTCGCACGGAACGCAGGAAGGCTGCTGAAAAGTGGAAGTTACTCCGGAAGATGGGGACGACTGCCACCCCTCCACGCGCCCAGGGGCGCAGAACGGAGGCGGGCAGGCCGCGCAATCCGCCCCCCCCCCCACCGGGCCGCCCCCGACCGCACAGCCCGCTCCACCCGGGCCACGCCAGCTCCGCCACCCGCACGCCCAGACCCCGCCCCGCACGCGGCCGCGGCGCCGGCGAGCCCGGGCGGTCCCGCGGGGGCGGGCGCACGCCGGTGCGGAGCCCGGGACCCGGCGGCGGCCGGTACCTGGCTTGGCGTGCGTCGAAATCCCCGGGGCGCCCGGCGGCCCCGCGCAGCACGAGCTGCCGCAGCGAGAGGTGCACGAGCGCCCGCAGCGCGAGCAGGTAGAGCGCCAGCGCCAGCGCGGCGCGCGCCTCCGGCAGTCCGGTCCCCGCGCCCCGGCTCGCGTCGCCCCCCGCGCTCCGCTTCCGCGTCCTCGCGCCGCCGCCGCCCGCGGCCGCCGGCGGCTGCGGCGCCTGGGCCTCCCCCCCGGGCTGGGGCGCGGCCGCCGCGCCGTCCCGGCGCTCCCCGCCGACGCGGTGCCGCCTCACGGCCGCCGGCTCCGAGCCCCACTCCATGGCCACGAGCCCTCAGCCCCCAGCCCAACCGCTCCGGCCCGCGACGGCCCCGGCAGCAGCCGCGGCCGCCGCAGCGCCTCCTAGTGAGCGGACGGAACCTGCAGAGGGCCAAACTTGTTCTGATTGGCCCGGGCCGCGACCCAGCCTCCCAGGGCCGGGGGCGGCGGGCACCGCGGCGGGGCGGCCCCGGGTGGGCGTGCCGGGTGCGCGCTCGCCCGCGGGGCGCTCGGCCTGCCGTGGGACAGAGATCCCCAAACGGAAGGACACCCACGAACCTGGGAACGTGAGAAAAGTGAGAGGCCGCTTTTCAAAGACCGCACATGGTGCACCGGGCGGGATCCCGGGACAGGCTCCGGGAAAGTCGGCTCCCGGCTCTTAACGTTAGAAGTAGGACTGCGCACCCGAGGCCCGGCCGAACGCCTCCACCTACGCAGTCCGAACACGCATCTGCATGGCCTGCCCGGCGGCCCGCGCTGCCGTGGTCTCCATTTAACAGATGCAGAAAAATAACAGCTCTTATTTGCTGCGCATCTGCCGTGAGCCAAGCACTGTGCCCGGTGCTTTCATACTTTATCTCGTTTGGTTCTCCTGAGCACCCTGAAAGGGATGCTTATGCTTTACTCCTACTGAATAGTTGAGAAACTTACTGGCAGATGAAGAACTTAAATCCGGTTCAGTGGGACCCCAAAGCAGCATTCTGCTCCACTGCTGAATATGGGGGGCACGCTGGAAAGGAAGGCTGGGGACAGCTCTTCCTCCCTCCGTGTCACCAAGAGGCGGAGCCCTGGTTTTCAGGGAGATGCTCAGGACCACCTAGGTTCCTCCCCGCCTGCTGATGCGCTGAGCCTCTGTGCCCCCAGACTGTGACTCCCCCATGGAGGCGCCGCACTTGCAGGACTGTGAGCCTGGAGCCGCCCCCCCGGAAGGTACACCACCCCGTGTCTGCTCCAGGCCAGGGCCCAGGCCCGCCAGGAACCGAGGTGCTCCCTATTCCCAGCTCTGCGGCCACACAGCCCTCTGCTCTTTCCTGCTCACCATCTTTCCTTGTACAACAGGGTCCTCTCCTGAGTGACTCATCTAAATTGCCTGGAGCGTTCTTCCCGCTCGTCCTTGCCGAGTTACCTCTTATTTCTCCTTCAAATCTCAGCACAAGGGGTACTTCCTCAAGCAAAAGTCTCCTAATCTGGTAAAGCCCGTTTCCCCTCTTTGAAGGCTCTCCTAATACCAAATGTGCATGTCAATTATTTTAAGAGACTGTGAGCTCCATGAAGGCAGGAATCAGGTCTGGTTTTGCGCACCATTTTAATGCTCTCCTCTTAACACAAAGCAGGATGTGTAGTAAGTAGTCATTAAAGGTTTCTCGGCTGAGTCATAAAATGAAATTTTATGGCAACAGCATAATTTTCACTAAGATCCTTTGTAGCCTGTGAGGTCCATGAGACCAAAGGCAATGTCTATATCTTATTTATTCATCACTCTGTTCCAAGAGGCTTATCTCTGTGCCTAGCCCATGGTCGTCACTCAACACGTATTTATTGATTGAGCAAATGAATATATATGGTCTTTTATAAGAACCAGCTTTCTTGCTCTTCTCTTTCCAAAACTCTAGCCCCTCTACCATCTTCAGAAGATAAGACTTCAGAAACAGCCTCATCTGCTGTAGCATAAACAAGACGTGGAGCTCACTCGTTCTCAGGGGAAGGGCGCATATGTCCCACGGTCTTTTAAGCTTTACTTATTTTATGCGGTCACTTTTTGTGCTGGGTGGGTACCAGAAAACCTAGGGAGAAGCTGTACCCCTCACGAGCTGTGTTAATAGTTAAATCATCTGAGGTCTTTTTTTCCGAAGGATTAAGCACATCTGATGATATTCTGTGGGAAGCAGTGTAACTAGAGAAGGAAAGAGCCTGGTGTTGATCCTGAATTGCGTTCCTTTGACAGATATGGCATTATGCAAGTTACGATCTCAGGATCCTCATCTGGGATCATGGAGATCATGTCTGCCTTACAAGGCTTCACTAAGGATCAAGCAGCTAACACAGATGATAGATCCTCAGACATAAGTCTCATTAAGTAATATTTTCCAGAATGTTCCTTTTTTTTTAAAATGTTTACTTTTGACAGAGAGAGAGTACCAGCAGGGAAGGACAGAAAGAGAGGGGAACAGAGGATCCAAAGCGGGCTCCGTGCTAACAGCAGAGGGCCGGAAGCAGGGCTCGAACCCAGGAACTGGGCGATCATGACTTGAGCTGCAGTCGGATGCTTAACCAACTGAGCCCCCCAGGCGCCCCCAGAGTGTTCCCTCTTATACAATCCTTTGCAAATTGGATCAAAAACCATTTTCCTATTGTGATCATCGTAGAGGCCTGGATGGTGGACACTCCTATAGTTGGGGTCCTGGGCGGCCGCTTCTCCCTACACTTGTATAAACTACGGTATTCACAGGTTGAGTATTTGTAAGCTACCAGTTGTTGGATGGCTAGTCTGTCAGATACTGACCAAGGTGAGGAAACAGAACACATCAATGTTTCTGCCTGTGCAAAGCTTACATTCTAGGTGGGAGACAAGAAACAGAGTGTGTGTTTGTGGGTGAATAAAATGTCACATGAAGTGTTGTAAAAAAAAATAATAATAATAAAGGTAGGGGCACCTGTGTGACTCAGTCGGTTAAGGGTCTGACTTCGGCTCAGGTCATGACCTCAAGATTCATCAGTTCAAGCCCTGCATCAAGCTTTGTGCTGGCAGCTCAGACCCTGGAGCTGCTTCAGATTCTGTGTCTTCCTCTCTCTCTGCCTCTCCCCTGCTCATGCTCTGTCTCTTGCTCTGTCTCAAAAATAAATAAACATTAAAAAGAATTTTTAAAAAAGAAAAGGAAAGCAGGTAACTGAGAATGACCTAGGCTGGTTTTTAGGTGGGGTGATCAAGGAAGATCTCGCTAAAGAGATGACATGCACGGTAACCTGAATGAAGCAAGGAGGGGGGCCGTAAGAGCCTGAGGAGAGAATGTTCCACGCAGAGGAAAACGGTCAGGTGTTCAGAAGCACCGAGTAGGGCACGTGGCTACAGCAGACTGGCGGTGATGGAGGGGAGGTGGACAAGTCGGCCAGCGCAGCGAGGGCATCCGTGGTCACAGCCAGGACTCGGGGGTTCTGAGCCAGGAAGGGCCAAGCGTAAACTACAGGTTGTAATAGTCCTCAGAGTCTCAGAGCCCCACAGACCGTGCCCAGATCACAGAGGCCGATAAAGGACTTTGCTAACATCTGGCCTTTGAAGTGTGAAGCTGCTGCTGTGTCACTGTGTTTGTGTGGGTCGGAGGACCCCGGGGAATCGAGCACACGCCCCAGCTCCCACGGGTGAAGTTGTTGAGTGTGGAACAGGACATGAGAGGCTTTGGGGCTCCTTCTGGTGACGTGTTGATGACTGGGGTTGACTTCACCCCACTTGGCAGACGAGCGACAGAGTGAGAACTAGACCAGCTGCCAGGCACAGAGATGTCCCAGGTCCCTTCTATTTTACCATCTCTCCGGTGTTTCCCAGTAACCTGGCCAAGTTGCGTGAAAGGGCATGCAGGCTGTCCGGATTCAGGTGAACATGCCAGTCTCTGTCTTCCCCAGAGGTCACCCCCAGAGCTGATAGGCCCCCTTCTTTGGAAGAGGGGTTACTGGGGCACCGGATGAAACTTCTCCAGCCTGAGGTGGGCAGGCGGAGGCCTTTTACCTCCTGCTATGGTTACGGTTGTAGCCAAGGGAGGTCCCGAGCCAAGACATGAGAAGAGACTCCAGACCAGCTGCAAAAGGCAAATGGGCGGAGAAAATTGGCTCCTTGGGGGGGAAAAATCAAATTGGAACCTCACACCGTATTATACACCAAAAGAGAAAAATAAAGTAGAATTCAGAATTAAACATAAACTTTTTAACTGATGAGAAATATGGTAAACATAAGACTCAAAGCAGACAAGGGCTCTTTAGCCAAAAAAAAAAAAAAAAGTAAAAGAGGGGCGGTTGGGGGGGCTTAAGTTGGTTAAGCTTCCAAATCTGGATTTCGGCTCAGGTCATGATCTCACAGTTCATGGGATCAAGCCCTGCATCAGGCTGGGCGCTGACAGCGCAGAACCTGCTTGGGATTCTCTCCCTCTCTCTCTGCCTCAACCCTGCTTGTGTGCGCTCGCTCTAAATAAATAAATAAATAAATAAATGTTAAAAAAAATAGTAAAAGAAATCATAGAGGGAAAAACCCCATCAGACTACACAAAACTGAACAATCACCAAAAACATGGAAAGTCAAATGACAAACCTGAAACATTATTTTCAACAAATCTAAAAACAAAGGACTAATACACTTTTGCTCTCATTCTGTCTTGATAGATAAAATATAAATATGAAATTACATATTTATAACTTATTACAAGTTAATGCATATATTTAATGTAATCATATGTTAAAATCAATTTTAAAAAATCCCAGTGCCTCAACAGAAAAATATGGAAAGCATTCATCCTTTGTATCAAAGGAGCACATATGAAAGTGTGGACCATTAAAAACAAATTTTTTAATGTTTATTTGTTTTTAAGAGAGAGAGAGACAGAGTGTGATCAGGGGAGGGGCAGAGAATGGGAGACACAGAATCTGAAGCAGGCTTCAGGCTCTGAACTGTCAGCACAGAGCCACACACAGGGCTTCAATTCACGAACCACGAGATCATGACCTGAGCGAAAGTCGGATGCTTAACCGACTGAACCACCCAGGTGCCCCTGGACCATTTTTAACTCACCATGTTGAAAATGTTCTTTCGTTTTGGTTTTAATTATAGTCTGTACTGCTCACAAAAGATTAATTGATAAGCACCTTTATTTGATGCAGGGGGGATACATACTGGAATGCCCTTCTAGAAAGCAACTTGGCAAGATGTACCAGGAGCCTTCAAAGAATTCACAACTTTTAAAGTAGTACTTTCAGATGGAGGAATCTAGTGAAGATGTGATTTTAAAAAACTGCAGAAGAATCTCCATCTATAAAAATCACATATGTGAAGGCAGCACCTGGCTAGCTCAGTTAATTAAGTGTCCCTTGATTTCGGCTCCGGTCACGATCTCACAGTTAGTGAGTTCGAGCCCTGTGTCAGGCTCTGTGCTGACAGCATGGAGCCTGCTTGGGATTTTCTTTCTCTCCTTCTCTCTGTCCCTCCCCTGCTGTCTCCCAGTCTCTCCGGCTCTCTCTCAAAATAAACATCTGAACAAATCAAATAGGTGAAAACTACTTCAGCATATAGAAATAAAGGAAAAGTCAAATAAATTAGAGCCCACCTAGAGTGTGGAATATCACATAATATTAAAATGCAGCATTACAAAAGTCTGTTCAACAATGTGGGAGAATTGCTCATGTTTTAAATACCAAGAGGAAAAAAAGATACAATATTGAATAAAGAATATATCGGATGGATGTTAGATATGTGGAAGGAAATACACCAAAGCGATGAGAGCAGTTTCCTAGGAGAGGTATTTTCCTTTTTTATTCATTTCTCTCGCTGTCACCTCCCCCTGCGTGGGCTTGGGATTCCCTGTATGAGCCTCAGACAGTGAGGTCAGGCCCTCAGCCCTGGGCTTGATAAGAGACTTGAACTCTGCCACATAGTAACCGTTCTGAAGGTAATTAATAAAGTGATTCAGCATGGACGTGATCCAACAGGACCTCAAGGTCAAAACCTCATCCTTGGCCTGTGCTCCTCAAATACATTTCTAGACTTAAAAGCTTAGAGCAAAGATCCAGAAATTAATGAATTGCTACCCCCAATAAAACAATTCTAAAGAGACCTTTTCACCGAACATATCATTCTTTAGATTTAGGCAGTAACACAGGAGACCTGAGGTGTGTGCTTCTAAATGGCTTTGGATTTTAAATTTTCTTCTCCTTCCTTCTCTGCATATTCTTTGTGTTAGAGGAAAAGAACCCAAGAATCTTAAAGTGTCCAGGGATTTATCTGAGGAGCACATACCTGGGACTCTGTTTGCATTTCTCCCTGGGCTGCAGGGGAAGGTGTGCCAGGACAGGGGGTGTGACTCAGCAGTCTTGGTGGGGGGAGGGAGGTGATGCTGCCTGAAGCTCCACTGTTTCGGTCCACTGACACCTTAATGAGGGCACATGCTGCCGCCGGGGCTCGGCCCCTCTAGCAGGGCATGCCCGGAGCCCCCCTGTTCCAGAGCCCCTTTCCAAGTGGCTGCCTCCCCCTTGCCGTCCCCTGCAACCATTTGCAGGTTCTGCCCTGGACACGTTTCACTTAGCACGTAAGCCTGTGACCTTGGTCAGGTGCTTACCGGCCAAAAATAGCCTCTGCGAGTCCTGCTCTTCCAACGTGCCCAAAGCGGAAAAGAGACAACAAAGGATCTTGGATGACCATGACGGATCTCTCTCCAAGTGTGGTCTGAGGACCAGGTAACATAAGAATTTGCTTGGGGACCTGAGGACGAATTGTCTTCCTGTGTCCTAACCACCTACAGCCATCAGAACACTTCGGTCATGGACGCCCTACTATCTGCTGTGTGGCCTCCAGTGAATCAGTTAACCTTCCTGTGCCTCGTTTCCCCACCTGAGACGTAGGGCAAACAGGGCTGTTTATTGAGACCCTAGGCCAGGAGACCCAGGAAGAGCTTTAGATGTCACAGCAGCCGCCCCTACTCTGTTCTTGGGACCTCAGCTACAGGACATCGGGGAGCTGCGGAGACAGCATCTCGGAGTCTCTGACTCGATTCGACTTGATTTCTAAGTCCTCCAATCACTCCTCTGCAAGTGCCTGAAAGGAAATTAGAGACTTTCTGGCCCAAACTCTTTTATAGCAACCCAAAGTTGTGAAACACCATTTGTGACACAAGCCTGAGGGAAATTCGTCTTCTATGTTTGCTAAGCGCTCGCTATTGCTCTGCTCTCTCTCCACCCCCTAAAACACAGGTGTTCATGCCCTGCATGCACTTCCTGTTCATTCCTACCCTCTCAGCTGAAAAATATCTGCTTTCAACTCTCAGCTCTCGCTCACCCTTGATACACAAGCAATCAATGAGCAAAACACCCGAAGTATCCAGAATAGGCACTCTATTCTTTCAAGTAATGGAAACATAATCACAATAGTTGGCCATCAAAAGGAATGACGTGCTGATGATACAGGCTACCGTGCAGATCAACCTCAAACACATTCTGCTGAGTGATAGGAGCTCGTCCCCAAAGGCCACACATTGTCTGATTCACGTAAAATACCCAGAGCGGGTAGATCCCTTCAGGCAGAATGAAGATGGGTGACTACCTCCAATGAGGAGGAGAGAATGAGATCAATTACTTCATGGATACGGGGTTTCTTTTTGGAGCAATGATCTTTCAGAAAGAGACAGAGCTGGTGGCTTGCACGAAATTGTGAATGGAGTAAATTCCACTAAGCGGTTCACTTCTGAAATGGTTAATTTTATATGATGTGGATGTCACCTCAATAAGAGTACTTTAAAATTTTATTCACTATAAAGTATTCACAGCTGACTCTAGTAAGTAGAATCTAAAAAGAGTTCGCTACACAGGCAGATGGATGCCTGCCCAAGTTCAGAGCCACAGGGAAGGGGTTTGCTCCCCCACCACAACTGTGATAAAATGTGACCACAAGGCTTCAGTAGCCTCTCCCAACAACTCAAGTAGGGTTTCTGCTCTCACCTTTTTTAATTTATATTTTGTTATTTTTGTTTAAATCTTTTTTAAAAATTTTTGAGAGACAGAGAAACAGTGAGCTGGGGAGGGGCACAGAGAGAGGGAGACACAGAATCTGAACAGGCTCCAGGCTCTGAGCTGTCAGCACAGAGCCCGACGCGGGGCTTGAACTCACGAACCGCAAGATCATGACCTGAGCCAAAGTCTACGCTTAACTGACTGAGCCGCCCAGGCGCCCCTCCGTTTTGTTTTGTTTTTTAAAGAAAATCAAAATCAGGTCTGTGTCACAGATGCTGATTCTTAACAGAAAGCAAAGAGCTTCATTCGTAGCCTCCAGTTTTAAAAACCCTCCAGATTCTTCCATGGTTCTAACTTCTCTTACCCTAAGGAGGCACCCAAATATCGCAGCTGGAGGAAAGGCTGCTCCTTGAGGACCCCTGCAAGCTTGGGAGCCCATAGTGAGAGATTTGGGGTTTAAAACCCAAGTGACAGGTAGACTTTGGTTATTCGAATGTGCTAGCGTGCCAGCAAGGTGGTTGTAATTGATTGGGGTGTGAGAGCACCGACACACTGTTTCCTGATACGGCAGATCGGGTAAACTAAAACAGATCAGAGGAGTGTCTCAGGGAGCGGTAGGGATTATGCAACCCCGAGCCCCACCTAAATCAGTCCAGGTAACCGCAGTGGTGTGGAATTTGGGGCTCAGCATAGCCAGATCGTATAATTTTTCAAGAAATGGCAGCAATTCCGATACTTAGGTGAAATCTTCTGCTCTGTTAATTTTGGAGACTAATTTTAAAAGAGAAGACCGATGCGTGCGCCAAACAAAACAGGCCTGCAAACTGGATCCCACCCATAGACCGTCAGTTGGGAACCTCTGACCCCTCACCTTTAAGCCCTCAGGGACATAGCTACTAAGATAAAAGTATTTCCCCCAGGTGAGAATCAGGTTATACCTGGGGTTCTTATCTCCCTAGCTGTGGGAAAGTGGAAAGTGCTGGCGTGGATCAGGTGTAGCTGGCCAGCCTCCTCTCTCTGTGGGCTGGAAGGTGAGGCTTGTCAGATGCTTCCCTCCGTCCCTCCCGACCCCCTCACCCCTGCGTTTCCAGCCACTGCTGTGTTTTGTTTTGCACTGAACCAGGAGTAACACTTCCTCAAGTTTTGCTGCTGCCTAGCTGGGGGAGTGGGGGGGTGGGGAAGGGGTTCCCTCTCACCCTCACCCCTACCTTGTAACACGATACAGTACACACAGCACACACCAGAATGTGAGGCTGTATGGCCCTCCCTCCTAGGTTCTGGACCCAGCCTGGAGCTGTGCAGCTGTATTTACTCTTCCAGTGTGTCCTGTGGGGAGGAAGGAAGAGCAGAGAGCGTGTTGGCCTAGAATAAAGCCCATGGTCATGGAAAACACCAGCGTTCCTGCTCTGTGGCCGCTGTCAGCAGCACAGACTCTTAATGGGAAGGGTAATCTTCCATCAACTATGATTCCCGCATTTCCAAGAGTTGCGACTCAGTCAAATCTACCAATTGGTTCTGATGTTAAGGAAAATGCCTTCTTCTTAAAGTTAGACACACTGGCCCTGAAAACACTGGCATCCTAAATCCTGAGACTTCCTTCCTGTGGTATTGTAGCTCTTTCCACCCAAGCTCAGACACAGACTCCCAGCAGGGGAGATTAAATTTAATTTTTGTAACAGCTACAGAGAAACCTCTACTGTCCACCTTGCCAAGACCTGACTAGGAACCACGTGGGTCAGACCAAAAGGAGCTCTTCTAGAAGAAACCTAGGCACGTGCGCTCCTCACTCCCATTTTGTTTATACATGGGCAGATTTTTTCAGCTTTATCAGACCTCGCAGGGAACCATAAATAGACTTCCAGTTGACACTTGTGCTGTCTGGTTATGTGGACCCCACTTCTTCCTTCCAGAGACACCATCCTGGCTACAGAGATAAACATCAACAAATATCACATTCTTTCCAACTGGTCTACCATAAATTATGGCTGGTTTGAGCATGTTGGCCTTTTGGCTGACTCCAAAGGGCAAGATGTTCCCTGGCCACACCGCGGTTTAGCCGGGCTTCCTGCTAACACGAATGGGGGACAGGTTTCGGCCCACTTGGTTGCTGTTCCCTAGGAACAGCATTGGGCCTTTGAAACTTAAAACCTGAGTTTGCTGAGCCTGAACCATGGTGTTTTTCTTATTCCTGTTCATCAGGCAATCTTCAAGTGTTCTCTGATGTCAGGTTTTTTTTCTTTACTATTTTTAAAAAATTTTCAAATTTATTTCTGAGAGAGACAGCATGAGCAGGGGAGGGTCAGAGAGAGAGACACACACAGAATCTAAAGCAGGTTCCAGGCTCTGAGCTAGCTGTCA